CGATCTTATCAGTACTGATGGCTATGGGAGGAATCGTGCTCATCGCCAACGCCAGCGGGTTCAAGGGACCCTCCTTGCTAGGTGTGGTTCTCTCTGTGGGTGCGGCCATTGGAGCGGCTCTGTACAAGGTAACTTCTGATTTGTTGCATATCAAAAACACACACACACATGCAGGTTGGTTCGTAAATATACATGGCTTTTATTATGTATATGTTTTACTATTTTAATTGCAACGTGATTATTTCCATCCACCAAAGGAGTCTGCTGCCGGTGCGTGGTGACTATTGACAATTTTCCCGACAGGCTGTTCAAACGCGTGTTTGGAGACGCGAGTGTTGGACAGGTGTCCCTGTTCCTGTCATGTCTGGGGATGGTAGACCTGCTGGGACTCTGGCCCGTCATGCTAAGTCTGTACTACGGACAAGTGGAGACTATGGACTGGTACCACCTCCCGTGGTCTTATCTGTGTGGCGGAGCCGCACTTGGGCTGGGTACGTCATTCCACCTCAGATTAAGTCCTGTCTACCGTTTCTACATTGCTGCCTACCGTATGCATAGTACATGGCTGTACTATGAACCGGTTAACTTCCGAGCAGATGTTGTGTGTGTGTGTGGGGGGGGATAAATCGTAACGTTTCCTGATTCCCTGCTTTCTTTAACAGTACCTCCCTCTATGACTGTCAAAGAAGCCAGGCAGTCAGAAAAAGATACGATCTGATTCCGTTAAGTCTGTTGGGAGACCATGGACTGGTACTGACACTTAAGTACCGTGGTCCTATATGTGCTAAGGGGCAGCGTTTGGACTGCATATATCTGTTCGGGTCAAGTGGACTGGTAGCACCTACTGGTTTACTGTCTGTAACCTGTTTCGCAACTGTTGTGCTAAAACGTTTACTACTTAGGACAACTCCAAATGCCAGTAGGATAGACCTTTATATATTAACCAATTTTACTGTGTTCAAAACTGCCTACAGCTTTCAACTTCTTCATCAACTTTGGGATCGCCTTCACCTTTCCCCTCTTCATCTCCCTGGGCACCGTGCTGGGAATCCCACTGAACGCAGGTAAGAGACCACAGAACACGGGTGAGAGACGAATGAAAACAGGTCACGTAAGTTGTGGAAAAATTGACGACAAAACGTCTGCTCCAAAGGAATAGCGTCACTTCTCATTTGACCCCGGATCGCCTTTGATAGATCTATTGATACTAGTAATCAATAAATGGATTGATCAAATAGTCAGTGGCCGATGTTTAAGTTGGCTTCAACCCCGTACTAATCCCGTCAGGCGTGGACGCCGTGTTCCGTGGCGTGACGTTCGGCCCGCTGAAGGCAGGGGGCGCCGCCATGGTGGTCGGCGGGTTCCTCCTGATGTTGGCCCCTGAGGAAGCTCATCGCAGGGTCTGTGACGTCATGTGCTGTGTGGAGCCAACCCAGGGAGCAGACGAGACAGAGCGACTTCTGCCAGGGAGACCAAGTGTCGGCACTTCAGTACAGAAGATGCCATGACAATTCAGAGATTTCTCAAGTTTAGACTTATCATGTAGAACGGGGTGGACGACTTCACATTCAATCAGATCCTTAATTATGTATAGATACTTCGCCATGATAATCTATCTTTGTGGTCATACTACCTCAAGGAACCAAGCACAAAGCCAGTCAACAAAATCCATCATTGAACCACGTTAAACAATTTTATTTGCAATTTATCACAACTTATATCCACATATGTACAGAACATTCATCACTTTAAAGGTCCGATAACGTAAATGAGTGCTAATATGCATATGCCTCAATTCTACTTAAGATATCTGTAATGTAACCAATTGATGAGATATAAGACTATACGGAAAGCAGTCAGTGATTCCAGCCTTAGACAGATCAATCTCTCAAGTCCATTTTATGGACGACTAATGTTCACCAATTCTTTAAAAAGTAGCATTTTATTCATCTTACAGATTGTTCTTGTAGAAACTTCAGAAAGCTGATTTCTACATTACATTAATAAGAAAGTGTACTAGGTAAGATGAGTTATGACTATTTACGTGCTAAAACATTTCTGAAACAATATCAATGGATTTCTTGATCAATGCCTACTTAGTAACTTGCTTTTGTCTGGGCCAACTAGATTCGTACATCTCCGTCATCCTCTGCATGTTCGATAACGATCTTTAGGTCACACTCCGTACTGACGACATGATGAGTGTTAGTGTGGGGGACGCGTGCCCGCAGACTGGACACGGCCGGTCACATTGTACCAACGTCATGGAGGAGAGATGGAGTCACAGATGTCCAGACTTTCATCAAGTTGTTTCCGAATGATGCGCAGGTTTTCCTCGAGCTTTTCTATCTTCAGCTCATCTAGGTAGATATGTTGGAAAGAGTAATTTTGTAACAAAATGATAGCTATAAGAAACTTTAAACTTTAATATCGATACGCAATGCATTCTCTACAGAAGCATTGTCAACAATAAGAGGCAATAATTGTCTTTTTCCATTGATTGAAAAAACAATAGGACTATATCAGCTTTCGTGCATGTCATATTCCAATCGTCTAACGACTGCAAATTGAGGACTTTTGGGGGATATTTGTGCATGTTTCGCACATTTCATCTGTTTTTGTACCGAAAAGGCCATCTCAGATCCTTGTAGATTGCTTGGAAATCCTGCAAAATGACAACCCTCCACGAAAATGACCGTGCTGTTTTCTTACCCGGCTCATCCCTTTTTGGCGGAGGGCTGTGTAGACCCAACTTGGCACAGACGCTGGTCCACATGTGTTCGGCAAGCTCGCGATCATGGTCGACGGCGACGTCAGCGGAAATGGCGTCACAGATGATGGACATGAGGAAGTTCACCAGGAGGATGAAGATGCAGACCATGAAGACCGAGAAGAAGATCGGCCCGATGAGCGGGTTAGCTTCCAGCATGTCACTGGCGAAGAACCTGAAAGCACACCGAACTCGCCATTGAGACAACGTTCTTACTGCTACCACGCACCGTAAATTACAATTATTCACAGAAATCAAAATTCTTGTATACATATTATCCAGCTCTTTACGTATTTGTAAGTGGACCTTACCTTCCTAGCATCATTTCGAAAAGAGCCAATGTTGTGTGGTACAAGTTTGAGTAAGACTTTATGTGGCTCCCAAAGATAAGGTATCCTGAAACAACAACATTTGACATCAATTATCGTTTTACATCTGAAACCAGTAACGCATATAAAGAAGCATGGGGTGATATGGATGTCGTAAGGTGTAGATCTGTATCAGTTATATCGTTCGTTTCCTGAATGGTACAAACTATGACGGTCTGTATACCTGCACTGATGAACGACATGAAGGCGACAGCAGCAACGAGTAAGAACGACACGAGCTCGTCTTTCATGATGCTCGGAAGGGCCAGGAGTTTGGCGATTGTCTGACTGAAGCGGACGACGCGAAGCAAGGCGATGGTGTTGATGAACACAACAATCCCCACGATGTGTGCAAAGCAAGCATTCCACCATGCAGCGGTTGTCATGTCCACAAAGCGTTCAAATCCCAGCTCACCTGTTGGACGAGGATTAAAAAAGAATCACGAGTCAACGTTCACAGCGATCAACCAAAAATATTTGACACACATGTAGGTCGTTTCATTTGTACTTTGTTGTCAAAATAACGGAATCTAATAAACAAATAACATACAACAGCACAAAGTACCCCACTGGTATTGAAAGAGTGTACAGAGCCTTTGCGTATTATCAATTAATAATGGAGTATATTTGCTGGTAACGTTGGGGACGTACCATTACTTTTGGGGACCATTGCGAGTGTATCAGATGCCACAATGTATCGACTGATGAAGACGGAGATGACTGTCGCTGTGCCGAGGATACTAAGACATCCTAAGGCATTCCATGGCGAAGTAAAATATTTCCATCCCAAGTTTTTCATGGCTTTTACCTCCTTTAAAAGCATTATTGAGAAGAGCAGTGTGAAAATGATGTGTATGGACAAGTTCACATAGTCAGCAACACTTTCATATTGAAACAGACCAAACGAAGTGATTGTTGCCGTTGGCACGAGACTCCCTACTACGGAATAATCTAGGACAATATGCACAATGCTGAACAGCTTCAGGCTGGGGTTGTAGAAGTTGATGTCCATTGACAAGGAAACTGTGTACTTGTCCAGAAATTCAGAGTCCTTCAAGGCGTGAAAGACTGACACGGCGGTGTCGTGGTTAAGAGGCAGGTCCAGGGAGTGACGGTTTGTGCAGTTGATTGTGTTGTTGGGATGATTCAGAAGATTCGGAGCCGTGAAGCGCCAGCAGGCAAGGGACATGTTCTGTACAGACAGACTCCACCCGAGGCCAGCACCATTCTCCCACGTAGTGTCACCTGCATTGATAAATAGACATAATAGATCTTGTCGGTCAACCGGAAATACGTGATGTTATCGTCGTCATAGTCTGTGTTTATTTTGAAGTATCTGTAAATTAATGTTCGTCTATCGGTAGATAAGGTCGACTTGCGAGATTCAAAAAAACATTTCTTCTCTCACTTCGTGTAGTGAAGAGAAATTAGGAAATTACGTACGGTACAACAATGTAAGAGAATGTAAGAGACTTCCTTGTAACTCGCGTTTTCAAGGTAACATTCAAGAGGGACAATCAAGAACACATACCTGGACGTCGTCTAACTTGTATCATGCGCGGAGGGCCGACTCGGAAGGACTCGGTGTTCTGTGCAAACTGTTTGTCTAAGAACTTCATTTTCCTCCCGTTGTACCAGGCAGATGGGTATAGGACCGGCAGCAGGACTTCCTCAGTCCATGTATAGAACTGGTCCGGAGTTCTGATCTGTTTACACAAATAATATAACTCCTGTCAGTACGGTTATTGCACATGGGATACATCAGTTCTGACAATACACATACCTCCGTGTACGTTGTGTTCGTAAATAAATAAATAAACAAACGTTATTTTATGAGTATGCAATGAAACAACCGTTGCTTACTTCATCATGTCCCTGTAAAACAACGTTGGACAGTGTCTGTGCCTCGTAGAAGACGTGCTGATCGTTGTTCGCCTGGGCGATGTAAAAGAGGACAGCCACAAAGACGGCTAACAGAAGAAACTCCTTGAGTGTCGAAGCGGACTTCTTACTAAGTTCCAGTTTCTTTCTAGCTGCTTGGCAGTCAGCTTTGGTAGGTGGATGGATCTTGTTTGGTGCTGTGACGTTAAACGTGTGTCATTATCATGTATAATACTAGAGTTCCCCGATCTCATACCTTCGCCAAATGATGTTAATCTTTATGACTGACAAATTATAGATTAGATTATTCCCCACTGATTTAAGAAATAGGAACCTAATTTTCATGAATTATATCATTTTATCATAATCTCAACCAAACAACAGTCTTATATTAGCAAACAATGCATTCTAGCATTTCCTAATAAATTATGCAAATGAGGTCCTGATTTGAATAAATTATGTTTAATGATGTTCACCTCAATTTAATTTTCAAATACCACAAGTATGAAATTCCAGGCAGTTATCATTACATAATTATAAAATTTTCTCATTAATTATGCAAATTAGGTCATTATTAACATAATCAATATCTTCCTGTGTTTCTCTCGTTGTCAATTACCAATGTCACAAGCTTTAATTGTCCTATCATGGAATGCAGCTGATTTATAGAATTTCCCCATAAATTATGCAAATTATATCCATATTTGCATAATTGTCACATAATTATATGAAGGATCACGTAAGCTACCTACATACCAAAAATCACGACGATCCGTCAACCGGTTCTTGAGTTATCCCCTTTTGAATATTTTCAAGAATATATCGCTGCAGTTCCAGAG